TTCTCCCAGGATGGGATCTAAGACTGCTTATAATAATTTTTAAAAAATATTCAATTAAAAACCTTATTTTACAAAAGTTACAAAAGAATTGAACAATTTTCTAGTGTTTAGATCAGGGGTAGGCAACTGCCAGCTGTTAGGGGCCTTTTTGGACCCCAGGAGCCTCTGGGGGTTACACTCATTTCTACCACCACCACCTCTGAAAACAAGCAAGCAAGTAAACAAACATCCAAAGAAGACTTTTTACTAAAATGCCCTAGTGAGGCTTGAGGGAAATTTTGACATATTTTTGGTCCCTTTCTTCTGATTGATGCCTTTTCATCTGCCTGAGTTACATCGGTCCAATTATTTCTTCATTTTTGCACAGGTGTCTGGCAGAGTCAAACCCATGGTCAGCCCCATATAGTTTTAGGCTACTTTGTCACACAGGTGAGGTATTGAGACAAAATGCCTTTATTTTGAGAGAATTTACTTTCACAGCAACTGGGACAACTTCTGTTCTCACCCAAACTGGCTTAATTCCCCTCAAAGGGATACCCAGACAAGACATGTTTCTGCCACAGCAGCTACATCCTGAAAGGAACACTTACGGGAAGTATGTGAACAGTCTATGACTGACATATCTTCAAAACAGTCAGCTAATTATCTCTAAACATAATAGGACATTTAGCCTAGTCATGTTGGGTGGTTATTTGAAGAGGTGGAACAAATTTTGTAATCCCTGCACTAGAGGACCAAACTTTGCAACTTCCTTCAAGAAAAGGCAGCCAATATGGTTTAATCTGACCACATACAAATCTTAAGTGGATTGGCAGCTCATCTCAGATCACTCAGTGTCAAAAGCCATTGATTCCTATAGGTAGTTACTTTTGTAGTCACTTGTCTCATATCAAAGCTCATTGAGCTGTTGGCTACTACCAACCTTTGTTTGCTGACAATGAAGACTGCCTTGTTGGTCATCATTACTTTAGCACAGAGGCTGGAAAACACATCTGCTTTCCACCACAATCTACCTTTTCTGTGATTTCACAAGGACCAGGTGTGTTATATCCCTCTGATAACTTTTCTACCCAAAGTAGTTTCACATTTTCACATGGCTTAGAAATTTGTTTTTCTGGTTTTCCTCCTCAATCCTCAGTCCAGCTTGGTGTTTAAATTGTACTCCTTCTGTGTCTGAGGAGTCTACTTATTTTATTTTGACTATACCAGAGTTCATGTCAGCTTCAAAACTCTTCGTGTGGTACACTGGTCCAATAAATGGTAAGCTAGAGTATTGCAAACACTTTCTAAATAGATGTGTGGAACAATGAGATTGTTGGCAAACATGTTCCATTTACCATTACACACCATTCTACTAGAAGACTGGCTGCTTTGGCAACTTTCTGTCAGGAATGCCTCTGCTTGAAAGCTCTAATCTAGAGCAATAACTTGCCCCCTGCCTTCAACCTTTGTTTAACATTATCACATGGACCTGACAGACAGACAAGAGGCATGCTTTGGCAAAACAGTGTTGGCATTGGTTCTTCAATTACACTCTTTCCAGTGAGTGTACTTTTCTAAACTCCCATATGTATGAGTCAGGGAGACAGCAAAGAAGAAAAACAGGTTGTTTAACTTTAACTGTAGTTGTTCAGTAACCATCTGTAAACTCACACAACTTGCCCTCTTTACTTTATGTGTGGCATGCAAGTGTGAATACCTTTTTTGGAGGGTATCACTGTGGCTGACTGTAACTGAATGAAAAAGCAGAAGCCATATTTGAAGTGAGTAGGATTTCTGCCCAAAATACTTCAGCTGTGCAAATTTTCACAATAAGTCGGTGCAGGTACATGAGAGTGTATATCTGTAAGATGGACACTGAAAGAACTACAGCTACAAGTAAGCAACTTGTTCTTGTTGCATATAACTCTGGCTTTATTCTCATTGATAAGTAACATCACTACAATGAATGTGAGAGCCTGCAGAGCCCAAGTGCTTTCCAGTTTCCTCATGTTGATCTCTCTTACTCCCTCATCCCATTTTTCCAGACCGTTTCTTAATAATAGTCTGTTCTACATCTAAACGTTCCTAGACTCTGTTCTGCTAATGTAATTGCTGACGTCCCTGTCTCCTTAATTGTTGTCTCATTTTAACAGCCCTACCTGCTTCACTCATATAGGAGTATAAGTATAATTTTCTCCCACAAGTCCAAGGTCTGGCTCTGCACTAAACCAGTACTAAAAATAAAAGTCCCAGCATGCCAGTCCACAAGCAATAGACTGTGATCCCTGGCAAGTTTTCAGGAAAGAAACAGTTGTAGACAATTGGGCATAATTATGTCACCAGTCACTGGGCCCATCTAGATGGACTGGAAAAACTAGAAAGTCCCTGGTTTTGTTCTTGTCCTTCTTGTTTGTTTGTTTGTTTTGGAGATCTGCATGACATTTTCCCCCTTCTGAAGTATTTCCAGGGACGTCCCAACACTTACAAGGACTTTTTATTTCCACTCTCCATGTCAGTTTAAATTAAACTTGTATTTCCCAAAATGAAATTTATCTCTCCATGGCAGTATGTTTCTGTTATCCCAGAGCTAGCTAAGATGGCCACCATCAAGAAACATAGCAACTGTTCCCAAGACAGCAGATTCAATAGAGGTCAAGTGAAGAAAAGAAATACTAGCAATAAAAGAAAATTATCCCAGTACTTAACTAGTGTAGCGTTACTTAAAAGGTCTCAGTGGAAATTAACGAAAGTCCATTTCTGAAATGCCTGAATCTAGATGTGATGTGTGATCAGTAGGAGGGGAAGGAGAAAGAACACAAGGAGGGAGTGAAGGAAATGTAAGAAAAGGTTTGAATGTGATACCATGAACATGCTGGTAAAATCAAACCAGAAGAACTGGAAATTCTTGATACTTCCAGGGATTTCCTGTCTGGATGAGCTTAATGGCACATGGGGGGACAGGACTGCAAGTCCTCCAGATCAGGTAGCCTGAGAAGCACCAACCCTAAATTACAAGAGAGTGGCCCAGCAGCAGAGGGCATGTGATCAACTGAGTACTTCCTTCTTCCTCTCTTCTTTTGGCAGGTCATAGCAAACAAGAGCAACACATAAATCTATGTACAGTTATCCATTAAAGTTATGAGTGTGCTTGCAACATTTTTGGTTTGCATTAAGTTATATATTTATTGTAGTGATTGGGCTTTAAGTTAATTAATTATGGGCTTATTGGGCTTTAAGTTAATTAATTATGCAAATCGAATAGTAATTTCCCCCAGGTCTGCTTTTATCCGTAAGGGAGCCTGCAGTGATTTAAATGACCCTGTGATATAAAAAGTAAGGCATGGCTGAAATGAGCTCCAAGCAGCCACAGATAGCTCCAAATCACATTGAGGCTGCTGCCACACTGCAGAAATAATGTAGTTTGACACCACTTTTAACTGTCATGGCTCCATCCTATGGAATCCTTGGATTTGTAGTTTGTTGTGGCACCAGAGTTCTCTGACAAAGAAGGCTAAATCTCACAAACTGAGGCCCAAATCTGACGAGGGTGGGTTCCGGTCACTCCAGAGGCATGGCATTTACATGACTCATGCCTCCTGAGTGCCTGGAAGCTGCCCTGGGGCCATGCCGGGGCCACCTAAGATGGCCCAAAACCACCCCCAAAAGGAGAGGATCTTTTCTGCTCCTTTTGGGACTGCGGCAGGAGGCACCCTTGGGAGGCGCATGTGTTCACCCTGGCCCTGGAGTGATCGGGCTGGCTTCTGGGCACTCCTTCCTGCCCATCTGCTTCATTTCTACAAATCTCAGAATCCCATATCATCGAGCCATGGCAGTTAAAATGGTGTCGAACTGCATTACTTCTTCAGTGTAGATGCAGGCTGACTCTCCACTGCTTTACTGAGGGTTCTTTAAAAAATCTTCCATTTATGTCAACAAAACCTTACTGAAAACCTTGTTGTGGTGGTTGTGAAGTGATTTCTGACACAGAGGCTCAGCAATGTAAAGAAAATAGTCTCTCCATGAGAAAACTACATGCAGTGAAACTATTAAAAGTACCTAATGCAACTTGGGAGGGCAAAGGAACAAATATGGGAAATAAAAACAGAAGGGAAGCTGATGGAGTTGGATGCAGACTGCTTATGAGGCATTCTCAGCCTGGGAGACAGGTCCTCATGCCTGCAGTATAGGTTCTTAAAATACAATGGATTATATGAACACTCTCCTCATCCTTGTTGGATTATGATTTAAATTGATATTATTGAAATTATTCCTGAATGTCTGTGTATTCATGTGTGTATCAAGAATGCACTGGCTCCAGTACTCATGGATCTCAAGTATATTTAGCCTTGCATAGAATTGCAGCATTATTTAGCTTCTGTATTTTCTTTAATATCTCAGAGACTGGGGGTATATTCTTCAGATCTATAGTACACTGTGTCTAATTCTTATAATCTAAATTTATTTTTAGCCCACAACTAATTGCCGAAGCGTTGATAAAACTCCTTGAAGATGATAAATTAAATGGAGAAATTATGAAGATTACAACAAATCAAGGGATTCACTTTCATGAATACAGTCCACTACCATTTTATTCCAAGATGCAATGAATCTGTTATGTGACTGTTTTGAGAAGAAATGTTATTTGCTTCCTTGAGACTCTGTTGGAATGAATTGTTAAGCAATAAGAAAATCTTGCTTAATAGTAAGAATTCACCTGTGTTCTAAACATTTATATCAATATCTGTTATGTGAAGGACTAGTTATATTGCAAAAATGATTTTTATATTATTGTTACTTTAATATTGTTGTTACTTATTTTTATATCAGATGGCATTTCAAGTGCTGTAAAAATATTTGAATACTATCTAATTTTATTTGTGATAAAATGTAAAATTCACCAAATTTTGAACCTTGTTCTTTATTGCACCTTCTGAATTTGGCTAAAACTATTTAATTATAATGTGTATTTAGGATAGCCCTTTCTGTTCTGTCTTTCAGATATTAGAAAGTTGTTTTTTTGAAGTGTGGTGTAGTGGTTTGAGTGTTGGACTAGGACTCTGGAGACCAGGGTTTGATCCCCAGCTCAGCCATGAAGCCCACTGGGAGCAAGTCACATGCTCTCATGCCTCAGGGGAAGCCAATGATAAACGTCCTCTGAACAAATCTTGCCAAGAAAATCCCATGATAGGGTCACCTTAGGATCGCCATAAGTCAGAAATGACTTGAAGGCAAACAACGAATTACAGTTATAGTTCAAGTGTTTCAAGTATTTGTTTACTATAATAGTTACACTTATAGCATCTCAAAAGTAACTACAATAGTTACATTTTAATAATATTAATTTAATTACTGTCCTGTGGTAAAAAGGATACTTTCCTCCTATCTGTCTTGTTCTCAGGGCAATACTCAGACCACAAGAAGCAGCACTTCAATCACATGATATACCTCTTCTCCAATTTAGTGAACCTCCTCTGTAGCTATTGAAATAACTTTTGTTTCACGGCAGAACAAATGACATTATCCTTCATTAAGTTACAATTGTAATGGAATGGAGTTATAAATATTACTGGAGGTATGGGTATGAGTTATATAACCTGGGAAGAGACTTGCTTGGGGGCATGCTAGTGTCCTAATTTTTTTTTATTGTGTGTAGCCCCTGGTCCTCTGCTTCAGCACATGGTCTCGAGGCAGACATCTGCATAAATAAAGAGAGTCAGAGACTTGACTGAGGAAGGCACTAGCAGCATCCTCAGTCCCTGAAGCTTGGAAAACATGATGATGCAGTAAGGGAAATACAGCACAGACTAGGTAAAAAGATAGTACAGGAATACCTGGCTACTTCTGGGCCAGATGAACTACATCCAAGGATATTAAAGGAACTGACAGAAGTCATCTCAGAGCCACTGGCAATGTTCTTTGAGAATTCCTGGGGAACAGGAGAAGATCCAGCAGACTGGAGGAGGGCAAATGTAGTCTCTTCCTACTCTATGATTCTATGCTTTTATTACAACATTCCATTTCAATAATTTGATTAAAAATTTAACTAACTAGCTGGTCTTCTGTAAAGCCAAAGGAAAGTTCTCTTGCAACCATTTTGGAACACTGGATTTATTCATATCACATGTTATTCTAACCTCTATATCTTTGGTGGCGAACCTATGGCACACGTACCAGAGATGGCACACGAGGCCATTTTCTCTGGCACACAGAGAGGGGGGAGGAAGACGAAAAGGTGTGTGCATTTTCTTCCTCCTTCCCAACCGTTCCAGGTCTTCAGCTGCCTCAGAGAAGCAACTGAAGACCCAGGAGGGTGCGGAGGAAGAAGGAATAGGCATGTGCCTGTTCCTCTTCTGCCCCCCTCCTCCCATGCCTTCAGCTGTCTCCGGAAGGTCTTTTAGTTTGGGCACTTGTCCCCTAAAAGGTTCGCCATCACTGCTCTATATCATTGTATCACTAGTTTTGAATACGTCACTGTTGTCAAGTTTTCCCATCAGAATATTTAATATGTTAATTAGATGAAAGGGATTTTTATTTAATTCGCTTCAATCTATTTGGTGTGATAGATAGACTTAATACATTACTTGTCAAAATCGAAAGAGTCATTTAGCATATCGCTCTGTCATAAAACCAAAACTTGTAACAGGCTTCCAGTCCCCAGGAAAGGGGAGACCAGGGTTTGCAGTAATCACAGGATCACTGCATTAAGCTCCCATGCAAGCAAAGTGGTGCTCTAAAGTCTATAACAAAGATTTTTACTGTATATGGAGGGAGTTAGATGTCCAAACTATTCAGAAACAGGCTAGGCATTAAGTATCATGCTGCAAACATATGTTGGATAATAGAGTACACTGAATGTACAGTTTACAGTTGAACATTAAGAAAACAAAAATAACCACATGATTTACATAACTTTAAAGTATACAATGAAGAAAATGCTTGGAAAGACAATAGGCCTTTTCCCTCACAATTCTCAAAGGAAGTTCAGAAAACCTGGTTTCTAAAGTTGGAATATGACCTTTTAAGCAGTATAGAATGAGAAGAACACACATTGGTGGGGGAAGTTAAAAGCAGAAGTGGCTCATATGTGCGTGAAGGGGTGGAAATGAAACCCTGCAGCAATGTGTGATGAAAGATACTCTGAGTAAGCTGTAACAGGAAATGTATAAACCCCATTTTCAGTGTGCTATCAAGGTATCGGTCTTAAAATTTGTGACCAACTATAATACTTACTTTGTTGCCCTTACCCCCCTCTCCCACAGAATTTCTAAATTTTGGTGTAGAAGCAGATGAAAATTTTACAAATTTACTGAATTAGGAATTTTATAGCCTGACAACTCTGATCTGAAACATCTTAGCCTATATTTATACTTCATACCAGGAGTTGAGAAATTAGACATATGGTAGCCTCAGCATATTCTGACAAAGCAGTATGTAATACTAACAGCTGCTGAAGGTGACTTTCACAGAGTTTTGTGAAGGCAAGAACAAAGACTCATGATATTCAGCAATTTCCAGAGTCTCCGGACTGATAGCATAAAAAGGAGGAAGGGAAGTGGAGGGAGGAAAGGAATGGAGCAGCACCTTCAAGACTAACTAGTTTTTATTTTAGCATGAACATTCATGAATATAAACTGACTTTTTCATATGCAGTACAGAGTGGTATCCAGTCTTCAGAATTGATAATAAGTGATAGCTGCACATAACTCTGCTCGCTCTATATTATACCACATCCTCAACAATAACCATACATTTGCCAATAGCTAGTAGTTTATAATTGTGCCAGGGAAGTCTATATATCTTGATATCAGTGTATCCTTAAGCCTTTGCTAGTGCAGGGCTGTTCTACACTACAGAGTTATAGCACTGAAATTTCACTTTAATTGCCATGGCTCCATGCTTTAGTGTCCTGGGGTTTCCAATGTAGGAAGAGGACTTAGAATTCTCTGCCAGAGAGAATGTGGTGCTCTCACCAAACTACAAACCCCAGTGTTTCATGTACTTCTAGTTATCAGTAAGACTCCAGTAGGGCTTATATAACAAAAAAACATTTAGTCTGCAGCCAGCTTCTTTCCCTACTACACAGTTTCTTTATTGGTATGTACTGAATCAAAAAACAAGACTCCAGGAACAGATGATATACCAATAGAACTGTAGCAATCCACACTGACAGTCAACTCTATGGCCAGCAAATTGGAAGTGGTCAATATACAGCCCCATCCACAAAAAGGGAGACACAAGAGACTGCAGCAACTATAGGACCTTAGCACTAATCTCCCATGCAAGCAAAATTATGCTCAAAATTATGCAACATAAACTCAAATCATACATGGAGAGAGAAATCCCAGAGGTCCAAGCAGAGTTCAGGCAAGGAAGAGGCACCAGGGATCACATTGGCAATATACAATGGCTAATGGAGCATAGCAGGGAGTTCCAAAAGAAAATCAGTATGTGCTTTATAAGATATAGCAAAGCCTTTGCATAGATCATGAAAGGCTATGGAATGCCCTTAAAGACATGGGAGCCAACACATCTGATAGTCCTGATGAGGAATCTGTACTCAGGACAAGAGGCTGCTGTCAGGACAGAATATGGAGAAACAGAATGGTTCCCAATTGGCAAAGGAGTCAAGACAAAGCTGCATCCTATCACCCTACCTATTCAACTTATATGCAGAATATATTGTAAACAAACCAGGCTTGGACATGGAAGAGGGAGGAGTGAAAATAGGAGGAAGAAACGTCAACAATCGTGAGATATGCTGATGACACCATAATACTAGCAGAGAACCTCACAAACCTGGAATAACTAAGGAAGATCAAAGAAGAAAGTGCTAAGGCAGTCTTACTGATGAACATAAAGAAAATAAAAATAATGGCCACAGAGAACTTACACACATTCAAACTAAACAATGAGGAAATTGAAATAGTAAAAGAGTTCTAATATCTGGGATCAAACATTGATTGGAACTGGGACTGCAGCCAGGAAACCAGGAGAAGATTAGGAATGAAGAGAGCAGCTATGAAAGAACTAGAAAAGATCCTAAAATGCAAAGGCATACAACTCAGCACAAAAGTCAGAATCATACAAGCCACTGTATTCCCTATTACTATGTATGGATGTGAGAGCTAGACAGTCAAGAAAGAAGATAGGAGGAAAATCAACACATTTGAGATGTGGTGCTGGAGAAGAGTACTGAGGAATTCATGGACAGCCAAAATGACAGACAAATGGGTCCTAGAGCAGATCAAGCCAAAGATATCCCTAGGAGCCAATATGACAAGACTTAGGGCCTAAGCAGACTGCCAGAAATAGTGCACATTAAACTGAGGCACTGCCCTGGCTCAGTGCTAGGGAATCATGGGAACTGTAATTTATTGTGGCACCAGAACTCTCTTACAGAGAAGGCTCAATGTCCCAGAAAAAAATACAGTTCCCATGATTCCCTAGCACTGAGGGCAGTGCCTCAATTTAATGTGCACTATTTCTGGCAGTCTGCTTAGGCCTATAGACTGTCGTAGTTTGGACACATCATGAGAAGGCATAAATTGTTGGAAAAGACAATAATAGGAAAGGTGGAGGGAAATAGAAAGAGAGGAAGTCCACATACTAGATGGATGGACTTTATTAAAGATATCATGAATATGAGTTTTCAGGAGCTGAGCAGAGCATGAGAGGACAGGGGCCCCAGAAGCTGTCTCATCCATAGGGTCACCATGGGTCAAGATCGATGCGAAAGCAGTTAACAACAAAAACTAAATCACTTCCTAGTAGTTCTTCACTTACTCTGTGTCTTCTCTCAATATCACTAGGTTTCTCTTCCTATTTGCTTTCTTAACCTTCCTATTTAGTTCCACTTATACAGGATTCCATTCATATAAATGTGGCAATTAAATGGAATGATATTGATATTATTATCTAATGTGAAATAGCTATGATCACAATCCTTGCTACTGTTACAAATATAATTTACTTATCTTCACTCAGTTTGGCATTGGCAGTTGTGGAAGTCTACTACAAATTAGTACGCAATTTGCAAATATTTTCACTGAAATGTTAGTTGGGAAAGGAATTTTCATGTCTTCTGCTAGCT